TCACTGACTATTTGTGCAATAAAACATTTTTTTGCACTTATGAAATCTTACGGTAAGTTAGTTACCTGCCGGGCGAGTCTCTGTAAACCGGTTTGAGTGTGTCCCGCAGCTGTGACTGGTGTGTTCTCCTGAAACTGAGGTGTGAATGTGGAGTGGCCCGGGTGAAGCAGGCATGACCGAAACACCAGCACATGAGCGTCATGCCGCATTTACACACATAACAGGAGAAACACTGAAGCTTTATTTGCTCTCAAGCTTGCAATGTTAATTCATGTTGAATATCCTTTATGAATAAATGAACCGAACACTCTTGTGCAGGAGCTCTAGACTATCACAAACATCTGTCTCGTCGTGCGTTAGCATGAAGCACAAAACATGTACATGTCACATATTAAAAATACACCAGAACATTAAGACATGCGGTTTAAGATGAAGAGTTTGCACTGAATTAAATACATCGGACAGATTTTACAATAAGGTTCATTAGTTAATGTAACATGAACTAACAATGAGCAACACATGTGTTACTGTATTTGTTCATCTTTGTGAAAATACCACTGTTCATTGTTTGTTCATGTTAGTTCACAGTGCATTAACTAATGCTAACAAGTATTACAATGTTTGTAAATGTTGAAATTAACATTAACAAAGATTAATAAATGCGGTTGATTATTAGTTCATGCACAAGAATCAATCTGAGTGTTTCTGCATTCTAAAAATGCTGGGTTGTTTTAACCCAACGTTTGGGTTTGTCCATATTTGACCCAAAGTTGGGTTAAAACAACCCAGCATTTTTAGTACTTCTTTGGGAGTGAATGAATCCTGCATGCAGATGTCCAGCATCTGCATCTCTCCTCCAGCGTTCACTCGTGTACGTCTAATCCCGAGCCCAATCGACTGTCAGACGGAGCAACTATCCCGACCACGACACCGGGCATATCAGCGTTCACAAAGCCCAAGAGCATGTGATACTGAGAGCTTTTATACAGCCACTGTATATCCAAAGTCAACAGACAGCAAATCCCTGGCTCAACTCGCTTTTGTCTTTATTAAATAAAAACATTGTGACATTGCGTAACGTCCCGCTGCCTTTTTAAGCACCTAATGAGCGGTTGCAGGGTAACAGTGATGTTATTCTTCTGCCTAACATAATCCACTGTCATCCTCGTCTAAATGTGGTCCTAAAAAATGCTGGGTTGTTTTAACCCAACTTTGGGTCAAATATGGACAAACCCAGCCATTGGGTTACATTTTTTAATTACATTTTTAACCCAACGTTTGGGTTTGTCCATATTTGACCCAAAGTTGGGTTAAAACAACCCAGCATTTTTCTGTTCTTTAAAATCATCATAATAGTAACTCTTCAGACCAGGTTTCTCATGCACCGGCTGAACTCTCCAATACACACACACCGTCTTGGTTCCCCTCTGAGAATGGATTTGGACAGCAGAAAGGCACAGCACATTTTACACACAACAGGAGAGGTTTAACAAGTCTCGAAGAGGAAAACACGAGTGTCAAAACTAGTCAAGTCAGTGTGACTTGCAGCAGGATCTGTTCAGGACTGAAGAATAAGAAGCTCGTCGTATATGACTGGAGAAACACACGCATGAGGAACGCGCCGGGTTTTACATTTCTCAGCTGAGATGCATGATGTGTATTCCTTTACTTTTTAAATCTCCCACAGAAGTACTAAAAATGCTGGGTTGTTTTAACCCAACTTTGGGTCAAATATGGACAAACCCAAACGTTGGGTTAAAAATGAAATTACAAAATTTAATCCAACGGCTGGGTTTATCCATATTTGACCCAAACGTTGGGTTAAAACAACCCAGCATTTTTTAGAGTGTGAGGAGGTCCTAAAATGCACATAAAATACATGCAAGTGCGTATAAGCGGACACATGCGGAGAAGTGCACAAAGTTTACAGAGGTAAAAAAAAGAAAAAAAAATATTCAATGTGGTGGGAATTACAAAACTTTACAAAACTTATTCTGGGCTACACTGCAGTAGAAATATGCAAAATCTTTTTTGTTTTGTTTTTTAAAATACAATTTTTATAAATAATAGGAAATAATATATAAATAAAAAATCATATATATGTCATATATGTGATTTTTTATTTAAATATTTTTTCCTACTATTAAATTATTATTATTATATATATATAAAATTTAAAACTCTGTAAAACTCCCCAAAACACGGGTTACAATTTGCGTGTGGAGTACGTAAACATATAATATATATATATATACACACCAAAAACAAATTGGGAGTTTTTACAGGAAATATTATATAATAGAATGATTTTAATAAGCAATACAAATATAGTATAATATATATATATATATATATATATATATATAATATAAAAAAATTATATGTTTACATATTCCACACGGGAATATGTAAACTTTTACATAAGAGTTTTACGGGAAATATTATACAATAATAATATATATATTTTTTTTTTATTGCTTATTAAAATGCTTATACACAGAACCAGTAACTGGTATTTAAGGGACTTTCACGGGAAACACAGTTGCCCTGTACACACTGGACCGTCGAGTGGGAACACATTTCTGACTGGTTCATCATGGAACATTTTCACGAGCGACCCAACTATCGTGTTACATCTGAGTGTATGCTGGGTTTCCGTTCAGAGGCCGCGTGACCCCTGCACCCCGGGTCTCCAGTCGAGGAATCAACCTCCTGAAATATATAATTGTATCATTCATTTTCTCTGCTCAGCATGGCACTGAGAAATAAAGAGAGTCGCAGTTAAAGGGGAAGGAAGTCTGAGGAGGATCCGGCTAGCGGGAGCTCTTAGCATGGGAAACGCTACATAGCAAACTCATTATGGCCATTTACTGTGCCAAAGGTACAGTGAGTAATTAACCAATTAACCATTCATACTCATAAGGGGGGTGCGAGCCAATGAAGTGCGGACAGCCAACAGACGACGTGCTTCACTGGTGCCTTTGTGAGTCAATTTATGTGCCCTTCTAATATTCGGTCAGAGCTCATGCGATGCATACAGAGAGAGCAGATGCACTGCTAAATGTGTTTGTGACTATACGTGAAACATGCAAATACATCATTCCTCACAGTCCGTGTGTTCATATCATGTCCTGCACACGCACACTTCTTTTGCT